GGGGGGGGGGGGGGGGGATGCACGATTTCTAATTGAATCCGCAGACTCGCGCAAACAAGGAATCGAATTACGGATAAGCGATTTATAAACTACTCAAAAATCGCGCATAAAGGAGCGGTGAAGAGACAGGTTAGCGAGGTAAAGATCTGCACCGGGTTTCGCTGCAGCGCGCACGGTGGGCCAGGTTCAAGCGTAGCGCGGACAAAAATCGTTGATGGACGGGACTCCGACGAAAAGCAGGGGTGCAAATTGTTCCTCTGCGATTTTCTGCAAGCGCAAGGTTTTCGCAAAACTGTCACCACGATGCGCTGATCAAAATTGTGCCTTGTACATGCTTTTCATTTGTACAAATGGGCTACATTTTGCAATTTGGAACTATAAATTCTAGCCCGGTTTAAAAACAACGTATGTGCCATTAGTTTCCCTATGCACATAAGTGTTTTTCCAGAAGAGCCAGAATTTATAGTTCCAGATTGCAAAATGCAGTCCAGATAAAAAAAGAAGCGCACTGGAACGCCCATTTTAGCTAGCTAAGCTATCAGGGAAGAAAAAACGATACTACGTTGAGCTACAAGCCCAAAAAACAACAAACACAGTATATTCAATCACACGATGCTGCGGTAAAAAGCAGGAAAATGATAAAGAAAAGATGATAAAAGAAACTTTCAAAACACCGGGAGTTTTGACCCATTTCATGGATCTTTTTCAGTGGTTTGGGTGCAATAAAATACCAACGGAACAATTAAAACAGGAGGAAGCAGAAGCAATCGCTTAAAAGAAAAACATGGATTAAGCAGGAACTACAAATAACAGATTTGAATCTACATTTTGAAGAGGAAATATACTTTTAGTACAAAGAAAGGAATTTTTCGGAAAAGTGATGACAGCGAGTAAACAAAAACGTTGAGGGGAATATGTGATTGAATAAACTGCATTTGTTATTGTTTGTGCTTGTAGCTCGATGTAGCATCGTTTTTTCTTATAAGAAATAAGTTTAAGAAGAAAAAAAAGGTGTTTTAAATCGGTCATCTGACAACGACGATTCCACTCGCGTAATTGATTTCGCATTGAGTCACTGAGATTCGAAGTGATGAGCCCCTTGACACGGGGATATAAACGAATGCAAAGGGCGCGGAGATCACGGCAGTGCAATGTCAACGAATGGAAGAAATTCCCATTATGCAGTTAAATCCAGTTGGAATAAATATTTACAAATTTTGATTTGAGTCTTGAGTGCGCGCGACGCTGAGTCATCTGTCAATACCTCAACGATTGAGTCGCTTTATTTTCGATCTAATTGAACTTGATAAAGTAATAATCAGAGAAATACAATGGTCTTACGGAATTTTAAGAACCACACATTTAATTATCTTATATCACTGCTGCATAATCCCACTAACTGATGATTGCTATTCTGGGCAGTCGTTTTTCGTCAAAACTAGGTATACGCAAAGAGCGTGAGTTAAAACAGGGATACTTCACGCATTGCGCAATGCGTGAAGTATCCCTGTTAGGTTTGTAGGCGCCAATGCGCGTTTTACGCAATGCGTGAAGTATCCCTGTTAGGTTTGTAGGCGCCAATGCGCGTTTTGCGCAATGCGTGAAGTATCCCTGTTAGGTTTGTAGGCGTCAATGCGCGTTTTGCGCAATGCGTGAAGTATCCCTGTTAGGTTTGTAGGCGCCAATGCGCGTTTCGCGCTGGTTAATGTGTGCATTTCCTGTCAGAACACTGGAAAAAAAGTCGCTTGGATGTGGAGTCCAGACTCTTAAAAACATTGACTACAAAAAATACTCTTTAATTTAATCGGACTTTTTGCCTGAATCAAAAAAAAAAATC